AACCACAGAACTCTGCGGTTAAGCGAGCTTTAGGTAAGAAAGCCTAAGGATGGGTGACCCACTGGGAAGTTTGTCGAATCCGAAAAGGGGTGTATCGATCTAACAAGCTTGTCGAATCCGAAGTAAGGTGTATCGATCCAACAAGTGGTATCAGAGCGAGGTCACAGGTGAATCTCGCGGCTGGTGCTGGAGGGGTGATTGTTGGTCTTATGGGGGATCAGCACCACCCTTTGATTCAAGGACTAACCGCCCAACCTGTGGGCACCACGATGTGGTGCAGTCCCTCATGTCCATCCACCGCTCAGTAATGGGGCTCTGCACTGCCGTAGTGAACTGTGGGGGTGCCCCAAAGGAATCTGCCTTGACTTGGGGACTACAGAGTAATGTTTAAATAGAGGGTGTCCACTTCCTTATCACCTATTGGTTTTAAGAAAGATATGGCTACTATTTAACCAGAGAACTCTGCAGTTAAGCGAACCCGAGGCAAGAAAGCCCAAGGATGGGTGACCCACTGGGAAGTTTGTTGAATCCGAAAAGGGGTGTATCGATCTAACAAGCTTGTCGAATCCGAAGAGGGATGTAATGGTGTATCGATCCAACAAGAAGAAAAACCACGACTTGCGGGCGACCTGCGGACATGAATGCCATCCGAAAATCTATCATTCAATGATACAGTTTAATTTTTGTTTCTTCCCGTAACGTTTTATTTATAAGCAACGTTCAGGTCCATTAAAGCTTAGTTAACACACCACAGATCCTCCTATAAATAGTTGGTAGGTGCTTTGCAACAACACATGGAATCATACACAATATGCACGTTTTTCCTTCAGCTAAAAACACCTCTAGCTCCCTGAAAATTTCCTTTGTGTTCTTCTTGTGTTTCCGTTTGCCAGAACTCTTGTTTGTGTGATGAAATGTTAGTTCGTTAGCCACCGTATCCTGAGAAACAGTCGTTGCAACGCTCCTAGCACCGTGGGAGGCGACGAATACATTTTAAGGACAACGTGCGTAGCACGAGCTCTGGCTAAATTCTGCTTCATCTACTTTCTATTTTCTTTAGTCATTTTATTTAATTAATCTTTATTAATTATTTTCTTTGTTTTTCGAAACACACAACCAACTTAAAACGTATTCAGTGATTGTTCTACTGCGGTAAACAATCTTAAAAACAATCTTAAAAGCGTCTGAGGTGATAGCTCCTAGCGTGCTCGACCTCGTGATTGTGCTCCAGAACCACGACCAGTTGGCACACACTATGAACCTACAATTTCAGAAAATTTTGTAGAAATCTCAAATTTATCTTTTTATTGTTTGAGGGTTGTCCTTTATTGAGCGGGTGAGGTCCGTGCCCATCTTTGGATGAGGCTTCGAACTGAGGAGAAGCCTGCTGCTCATGAGGGAGACCCTCGACCGCCGCTGTCGCTCAAGAGAACTCCAACCATGGACATCGCCGGACGGAGTTGAAGGTGGAGCTCCTACCGCCACATCACTGTATTGTGGCGGCTGAATATTTGTAGCTTAGGTCGGGCGATGAGAGCTCGTGCAGTCCCTTGTCCGTGCGGCCAGCAGATAGAGTTGTGTTGTGATGCTATGGCAGCGATTGATGCGGTGGCGGAGCGATGCGGGGTGAAGCGGCGCCGTCTCGGTGGAGGTGGCTGAGCTCATACTTGGAGTCTCACTTCACCGCTGGGGTGCTCTCTAGTCCAACAGTCTTCCATGGGCAGTCATCCCCTTCACCCAGCTTTGCTGCTCTAGATCTACATGCTGGGAAGAGAGAATCGTGCTAGAATCCTTGACCACAGGTCGGAGGTTGGAAGTTGTTTCCTATTGCCTGGGACGATTGGGGAGAAGGAGACCCTCGACCATCACTGTCACTGTCACTCGAGCTGCCTCCATCCATGGCCGTTGCCGGATGGAGTTGAAGGTGAAGCCCTCGCCGCCGCGTTGCTGCCCTGGATTGGATGGATCCCTGTCGCTGAGGTCGGCCGAAAAGAGCTTGTGCAGTCCTCGGTTCGTACGGACAGAGGAGATAGAGAGCGATGGCAAGGCTCCATCTGCGTCACGTGTGAGACCCGCTCGTCAATCCCAGGAACCTCAAGCGGGCATTAATGGCGGAAATTGGACGGGAGGGTAGAACTTCCGGTAGTAGGTGAGACAAGGTCTGCATCTGCCGTTGCTCAGTTCTCCCGGTCATTCGTCAATCAGGTTCTCCTTGGTTCGGCCTTGGTGGCTGCGTATCCTTGGGACCTAATCTGGAAAATTTCATATCTGATTTTTGCTCGAATCTCTACCGGTTCCTGCCGAAAAATGAGTGATGACTCTCAATGAAAGCACCAATGTTGGTAGAAAATATCCTGGGTAGAGAAACTAGCAACATTTCAGTATAGTAAAATATTGTAGAGAATACATGGAGGGTTGATGACCTATTTATAGGCATCTATCATAAGTCCAAATTCTAATCTACGTGAACTTGACCCAAATTAATAATACATCTTCAAGCTAATGGGCAAAACGGCCCGATAAATAACTAATGAGCAAGGGACGACTCCCGCTCGTGAGACTGCGTCCTGGGCCTAGTTGGGCTTAAGCTCGGGGATAACGGGCCGATGACACTGGGCCCGACCCATTATCCAACAACAACTATTATCAACTTCGCACTTATGCTATGGAAATATTAACTCAAGTGATCTTAAATATTTATTTCAAATTTAAATGATAAATTAATCAATGAAATCATTGATGTTGTATTGTGTATTATTCTATTTGCTATAATAATAAGTATTTTATATTTTATATAACTAATATTTTGTAATACTCTAGATTGTAATATGGAGTATAAGATAGTATGATTTATTGATATGTATCCTAACTTTTATATTTTGGTAATTTACTTTTTGAATAACATCCTTTCTTTCAATATTTTTTATGCATTCTGTTTATTTTAAAACTATCTACTCCATAAATCTCATATTCATTATCCTTTCTTTTCTTTCAATATATTTATGTCTTCTATATATTTTAAAACTATCATATATTTTATTTTATGATACTTCGTATTATTTTATCAATATTTTAGAAAATAAGTTTTTCCTAAATTTTGTTCCGTGCAACGCACGTGTGTAAATCTAGTTAATTCAATAGGAGAACACACGTATATGGACATGATCATGTGCGATCATAGATTAGGAAAAATAAACAATTAGTCATAGAAGGGGAACTACATCACGTTTTAGTGATATCCGTGATCAATATCTCATTAAAAAAGGCTACTTAGAGCATCTCCAATAGAGATATAAATTGCTCTCTATAAAAATGGACACGTTGTGTCAATGAACAACCTATAATGCTGAGGTGGACGCACAACCAATTTCAATGAAATTTCATCTCCAACGGTGTCTATCCTTCATCTACTTTCCAAACAAATATATTTTCATTTAATTACTATTCAAACCTGAGATATACGTACTACACAACATATACACATACTCACTGTCACTGGCGCCTAGAAATGGAGTACTTCCGCCATATCACAATTCACAAGTCGATCACAAGGGGCTGTCACCAAACTCCATGACCAACTCCAGAAACAAGAAACAAACTCATTTAATTTGGTATACTTCTCCGGAAAAAACAAGCTGGAGAAGAAGGTTGCCGGAGAAGAACTGAAGAAGTCGCCGAAGAATAATTTCAATAAAAAACAGAAACAAAGTCATCTAGTATACTTCTCGCCGGAAAAAAACCAAGCCGGAAAAGAAGGTTGCTGGAGAAAATGTCATCGGAGAATAATTTCAAAAAAGAAAACAGAAACAAACTCATCTAATCTTGTATACTTCTCGCCAAAAAAACGAGCCAGAGAAGAAGGTTGTCGGAGAAGAAGTCGCCGGAGAATAAAGGTCATGCTCGCCCCTGTCGCCTATAGGAGTGCCGCCGTAACACAGGCAGGGCCGGCCCTGGCGGTGTGCAGGGTGTCCAACCGCACAGGGCCTAAAAAATTGGAAGGGCCCAAATTTTTTTGTAGTAATATATTAGTATTACTTAGAGGTGGAGCGTATATATAGAAACGAAGGAGTAGTAAATCCTCCGTTTCCACCGGTGTGGGAATCTTAAGCTTTAGAAACTAAAAAGATAAGAAGCGAGGCATGCGGGATTCGAACCCGGGTGAAAATAAAATCATGCACACTGATCTCTAAACATCAACCCACTGGACCAAATCAACTAATTCTTGAAATAAGGACGTACAAGCTTTATATTACCTATTTGTTCTACAAAATAAATAATTAAAAATGTCTCTTAATAAAAATCGGTTCGGTTCGGTTTGAACCGATTTTATAACTCAAAAAACCTTCATTAAACCGATTTATGTACGAGTCCCGACTTTCGGGTCCCATTTGAGTCGGTGCGTTTTCTGTTCAGTTTTTTTAACTTGTGTTGAAACTTTGAAAAGAAGGTTCAATTATTTTTTTGTACATGACCTTCATTTCCTCAGGACCGGCCCTGAACACAGGGGGCTGCCGGACAGTGCGAAATAGTTCTCCCGTTTTGAGGTTTGGTTACTACTACAACCGGGTACTGTGTTGGAAGGGAAGGACCAATATACGAAGTACACGTTTTCCGTAAATAATTATTGAGGTTTGCTGATGGCTGTTAGAAAGCCCTTCTGAAAATAGAAGGGAAGGTAGATGGAGTCTCCTTTTTTCCATTCCAACTCATCACTACAGCCAATATACGTAATTCCGTTGGAGAAATAATTTTATCTAAAACTGACGTGGCAATGCATCTCTAAGCAATCCATGTTGTCACTAAAGATGGTCTTAGGTAACTAAACGTGGGAATATTAAAATGAGAATGTAGCAGTTGAATTATTTAAATCTAAATTAAAAATGATAAAATGGTGTGGTCCAATCAAATTAATGGTAGGTACGGTATCCCATTTTTAAGAAAGGTACCGGAGTTGTCACCTATTAAAAAAAAATGTAGTGTGGGGATCTTTAAAGCGATTACGGAATACACCTTTACAGGACTTTTAGTGCAACACGCTTTTCAGTAGCAAATTGTTCGTTGCTTCACAGCTCGGCTCTCCGGCTTCTTGTTCTCCACATTTCCGTTGAAGCGTTCCTTCCATATCCGTTCCAACCGCTCTCCGTGTGCTCGACGAAATGCCTTTGCAATGGTTTCCCTCGTCAGGACCCCAACACATTTTTTTCTTGCCCTGAAAATGGATTCTTCGTTCAGTCCCGTTCCGCTGAAACTCCGCGGCCTGAAACTCAGCTGTCCTATACTAACAAGCTTTTCGGGGACGAAAAGGAAGGGGATTTATGGGTTTCTTGATCCGAGAAGGCGCGGGAGGGGGTGGAGGAGGGAGGTAAGTGATTCTTGTTGGTGTTATGGAGGTTCGGCGAGTACTGCAGGGGACGCCGAGCTGGAGGCCAGAATCTTGGAGTTCATGCAGAATTCCAAGAAGCCAGGGTCGTTCCCAACTAGGAAAGAGCTGGAGGATGCGGGCAGGTTTGATTTGGTTGAGGATATTAAGCGGAGAGGCGGGTGGTTTTCCCTTGGTTGGGATTCTGATAATGATGGTAACAATGAGGGGTTTGATATTGATTTCGATATGGAGGAGTTTGCAAGAAGGGTAGATATTTGTCGACATAGTGGAGCTTTTGTCGACATTGAAGTAGACTCTCTTGGTTCTAACGTTTCTTCTGAAAGCCTATCTTCTTCTGGTAGATCATTGTGAGCTTCCTACTTAGGACCTTAAAAAACCTAAGGTTCAAACGAATTTAATTTAATTCCTTATGAAAAACTAAATATCCTGCACAGCCTCTTTGTAATAATTGATAATTTGTCCGATATATTTAACCATTGACTTGTTGCTTACCAAAGTTTTAGAAATCTAAAAAAAATCTCTACGCTTCTTTAATCTATTGGTTTTATTCTCCATTCCTCGTTCTTATCTATGTAATGCTAAGGTTTTTGGTATGGCATTTTAAACTGAAAGTGTTTGCCCTTTGGCTCAGAGAAGCAGAAGCAGAGGAAGAGAGTGGAATTGAGGGCATATTGAGACGATTAGAGAAACATAGACAATCAACTTTCAGTATCTGTCCGGAAAAATCTGGGAATGGAAAATGGCCATTAAGCAAGACTGGCAGGGATGATATGGATATGATGACCACTGATGTGGGTAAGTTGTGCTCACAGTGACCATTATGTTGTGAACTTGTGATTGATGTTATGTTGTGAACTTGTGATTGATGTTAGTTGCTGTGGCATAATATATAATTATATATTAGTTGGTGATTTTCTTTTTCTCACAAATATCCATTTTATTTATTACATTATCCCAGTAGACATAGTTAACATTTCTGTGATATTTTACCTATTGTGTGATAATATATACAGGAAGTAGTAATCTAAAAGACACCGACACATTTGTATCAGATTCATGGAGAACTTGGAGTACTCGGCGTGCTGGATTTCACGACTCTGAATTTGATCGTATTTCTTTTCTACTCCTTACTTAGCTAATTATTATCTTTTGTAACCTGATATGAATATCTAAAGCAGTATTTTCTCCTCTCTTTTTTATTTATTTTGTTCAATGTGCTTACTGCTTCAACATGCAGCCGATGAGATTAATTTTGGTCATAGAAATAATGACGATACAGCTGTTGTAATTGAAAAAAGTGTAGAAGATTTACAGAGACAGAACGGTGTCACTCAAAATGACATAAGAGCTTCCCTTAGAAACCTAAAAGTTGAGCTTAATTCAGCACTTGAGTTCATGAAATTCAAGAACCAGGAGTTCAGTTCAAACGAGGTAGAGCAGATATGATTCTCATAGGCAATAGCCCATGAAATGTACATATTTTTAACTAATTATTAAATGGAGTATATGACTAATTATTAGACAATTGATGCTTCTTTTTTGAAATGCATTTATTTTTAAAGTTGCTCTTTGTACAGAACTAAACAGTAAGCTCTTAGTTGTTGCTTGTCATGATAATAAGCTAATTGAGCACATGCTCTTTTCTTACTAATTGAGGTATAGAAGTCCAGAGCAGTTCACTTGCCTTTCTCTTAAATCTTTAGAAAATGGAACTAATCCTAGTTTGTTTTATTGAAGTGAAGAAATCACATGCATGCTTTATTTGTTTCTTCAATTTCTTGATTGCTCCTTTGTTAGGGGTGGGGGATGAGGGTGGGGGGATTGGGTTGTAGGACTGTTTGTAAAAAGTTGAAGCCAGATCTGTTCTGGATATGAGAGGGATGAGATTACAATTCCAGTGTAACACTGTAAATACAATTTTACACTTTGCAATACCTAATTCCAATCCAGAGTACACATCATTAATATTAAATACGAATATTACACATGGACAATTAAATAAAGGCTACAAAGTGTCTTTGAAAATTTGGAAAAGAACTAAGGGTCAAGATGTTTATGTTTATGAATGACAACAAATGTTGGTAATACAAGTTAACAGTTAATATGAATCCAGACAAGTTGTCCTGTATTCTTTTCAAGTTATTTCACACATATTGTTCTCAGGATATGAGAGGTTCTCACAGTGATCTGGAAAAGCTTTCAGATGCATTGGAGTTCAATGAAAATCAATTCATGTATGCCCAGAATATATTGCGCTCAATACGTGCAAAGCTAAATGTACTAGAAGGGAAAATGACTTTGTCAGTTAGGTATGTATGAAACCATTACATTTCATTGTTTACTGTGGATACATTCCTCTGATTAGTAAGTGCACACTGTTCTTGTCCAGTGATGCACAAAAGATGATGGAAAAGAAACAGAGTAGAATTGATGGCTTTCATATAGCCATGCAGCTTCTGCGTACTGTCCATATTGTCTGGCCTAATTCTGCCTCAGAAGTTCTTGTAGCAGGGTCTTTTGACAGCTGGACATCTAAGGTTTTGTTTTGCCTCACTAACTTAGTACTGCTAGTAGTAGTGGTGGTTAAGATGTAGTTACAGTAGCCAAAACCTTAGTAATAGATTATGACCGTTTATATATTGGGAAATGGTCAAATGAGCCCTTTTACTATCTACAAATCATCACTTAGGTTCATGTACATAAATAAGTGTCATTTTCATCTGTTAGTTGAAAACAATACTTTAAACCCAAATGAACTGTAAGTTACCTGTTCAATTCGGTAAACTCACTACGTGTAATTTTAATTAAAGTCGGGTCAACTCATTTTATACATGTGGCTTTTATTATTCCTTTTATTTTTTGCTCTCTTTTCTTTTTCATTTTTCCCTTTTTCTTTTTGCTCGTTCTTCCCCTTCTCCTAACCTAATATATCTGTGTGTGTGTGTATATATGTGTGTGTGTGTGTATTACATATCTTCCTCATTCTATACTGCAAAACAAAAGAAAATTTATCCACCGTGCGTTGACATCATTTTTTTGCAAAAAGAATTAGAGGAAAGAAGGAGAATTAAAGGAAAAAAAGAGGAAACAACAGAGGTAGAGATATACCAATTGGGCGACATTGCCAGAGCGATGAAGCATTTTTCATTGTCTTTGTCGGACACCGGTATTGGTTCTACTGATTCTACCTATTTGAAGAGGAACAGTCAGTTTCACTGAAATTAAAATACACCCAACAGCCCGTCAATCTCCGGGAAACCACCGAAAATAAAGCGGGAAGACATAGTGATGCCAAATGATTGGCAACATAAAATCCGGCCAGCATATGTCTGCAGTCTGCACTATAAATTGCAGCAAAAGTATTACCTCAATATCTACAGCTAGCCAACATCTTCTTTTTAGGAGAGACTTGTAGCAAGGAAAAGAAAGAAGAGAAAGTGAAGATGGAGGCATGCGGGCTGACCAAGAAACGGACCAACAACAACAACATCCAAGCCTTATTCCCCAAAGACCAAGAAATGGACCAAGAAAGAAGAAAATAAAGATGGAAGCATGCGATTGATCAAGGAATGGACTGAGCAAGAAGAGACTGAAAGTAAAAGAAAGGAAAATAAAACTGAAAAAATTGCCACATAAGCAAATAACCTACTAAATCAGGAGACCTTCCGGTCACTTGGTTTATATGACCATTTTTTACGAGTAGAGAAATGAATATGACACTTATTTAAGTACATGGACCTAAGTGATGATTCAAAGATAGTACAAGGACTTATTTGGATCTATTATGATACTTTGTTTTAGGACTTACTTTATGAAGTGTTCATGTCTTTTGTTTCGCTAAACACATGGGAAGTGTTCAGCACAATTTAGATATGTCTGTTAGAATCACATGGAAGAAGCAATGTTTGTTTTTTTGGATGAGAAGTTAAGTGAATTGTGTTTTATTCCTTCCATTATATGGGTGTAACGTTACCTAGGAAAACGAAATGCCTACATTATTTAATTTCATAATAATTGAAGTGGTGCAGAGAAAGATGGAGAAATCAAGTTCTGGCATTTTTTCGTTGACATTGATGTTGTATCCTGGCAGATACGAGGTAGGCCCACTCCATCATCAGTATTGCTGTTATTCAACAATATACTCCCCCTTTTCTGTTTTGAATATTAAGCAATAATACTACATTTCAATTCAGATTAAGTTCATTGTAGATGGGAAATGGAGAGTTGATCCTTTACGCCCTATCGTTCACAACCATGGACATGAAAACAATCTCCTTTTTATCACGTGAACCCTGCATGTGCATTGGAGGGTGTTTTTTTTCTGAGGACTTAGACAGAGTGTATCCAACTTTCACTCTGCAATTTCGTCATATAGTCTTTCTTAGGTGATGTGAAGCAAACATGTTAACTGTTGACGAGCTGATTTAATAACATTCTTTCTGTACATATGTATATACTACTAGGATAGAGGCTTCAGGCACTGAAGTCCTTAGTCACGGTCACACGGAGTAGTTTCAAGATTAATAGCTGTTGTATGGGAACATTGCCTGCTGGTATAGTGTGTCTTCTCGTGTATGTACATTTTAGTAGAAGAGGTGTGAAATTTCTGATTCATCTAGTAAACTATATTGTATTACATTTTGAAGGCCTCTAGCTCAGAGTAGATGAGACTAACATGCAACTCATGAATATTTATTTACTTCTCGTGTCATCAATTTGTTCTCTTCAAGTTATGTGATTATGAGATAATCTTACATCACCTTCACTTAAGCGAAAGTGGTTGGGTCGACGAAGAGGTTATGCAGGAAAGGAAGGGGATGATTATGTGTTATTTGGTTTGAGAAGTTTTAGTAAAGGAAAAGAAGGGAGGAATAATAGAAAATTACTAGCCATTCCAGCCCAGCTGGTTGCAAGTTTACTGTGCCTAGTGGGAGGTCTCGAGTTCGAAACCCGCTAGGCACATAAAGGGTTTGAGCCTCAATGGAGTGAATTTCAGCCCTATTTACTCCAGACCCCCCAGATCCCACTGGAGTAAAAAGAAAAATGAAAAAAAAGAAAATTACTACTATTGGTTAAAGATGGATGCATTAGTTCTACTCTTTTCTTTCGGTCTATTATCCTCCTGAAAAAAGACACTTGGTCGCTTTTTCTTGGTGTACCTAGTTTAGCATTTTACTATTTTGGCCCTTATTATATTGGCTGACTCCAAAATCTTTTGAGTCCAAGGCTTGGATGTAATGGTGACACTTTATGTTGGTTATTCAAATTAATCACAGGTACTACTATGGGTGGACTCGAGCCGGTCCGGGTCGGGCCTAGGCTCGGGCGGGCCGCCGGTTCAGAATAGTTGGACCCGGGACCGGCCCGGGTAGCCACTGGGTCCGGTCTGGGTCTAGGCCGGGCCGGGCTGGCCCTCGGGCCACTTCCTATTTTTTTTCTAATTAATCCCCTAATACTCCCCCTCACCACCCCAAATGGCCCAAAACACCCAGCCCAACCCTGAAAAATAAAAAAAATGAAAAATAAAATAAAAAATAAAAGGCCTGGAACCGGGCCGATTCATCATTTGGTGGACCCGAGCCCGCACCGTAAAACCACCGGGCCAGGCCTACCAGGACCGGTCCCTGGTCGGGCCACCGGGCCGGGCCAGAACAGTACCGGTTAGGGGTGGATTCGGTTAGGGGTGGATTCGGTTCGGGCCACCCGGCCCATGACCCGGCCCGGCCCGGTACGGTGTGGACCCGAACCGGTGGGAATGGGCGGGGCGGGCACGGTGCCGGATAAATGTGATCCGGCCGGGTCGGGCCCGGGCCCGGGTCCGGGCGGTCTGATTTTTTTTTAAAAAAAATTTGAATTGGGCTACTAGTCGTTGGGGGTGGGCTGGGGACAACCCAAACGGCTATATAGCCGTTGGGTGGGGTGCAGGGGGGGTCCGGGGGGGTTGGGTGGTGGTGGGGTGGGGGGGGGAGTATAAAAACCTATAAATACTCCTAATCTTAAACATTTTTTCATATCTCTTCTCCAATTCTTCCTAAATCCTATTCTTAACTCTCTACTCTCTAATTCTCTTATTCTCCAATATATTATATTTATTATTTATATATCTACTTTATAGTTTATACTTAAGAAGTTAAGATGGAAAATCAAGATGTCATTATACGGTATAATTTTGATAAGCAGAAGGACCCGAAGACCGGGATGTGGTACGCAATTTGCAAATGGTGCGAGAAAAAATGTAGCATGGGGGTTTCAGGCGGATACGGGATGACAATCAAGCATATGAAGTCATGTGACAAAGCCAAAGGATCGGGAGGTGCGGGAAGTTCCGATTGATTACAATTTTCAAAATGTTTATCTCTTAAAGTTTGTTTTAATTTTCAAATGTAGTTCCTATTTCATTTCAAATAAATGCACTTGAAGTTTGTTTTTAATACTCGTATAAAACTATAAACTATAAAATATAAATTATAAAAAAAATTAACCGGCCCGAACCGGACCCGACCCATGACCCGGGCGGGTTGCCCGGCCCGAACCGGACCCGTCCAACCCTCGGGCCGGTCCCGGGCCCATGTCATACAAACCGGCGGCCCGATCCGAGTCCATCAATAGTACCGGTCCTGGGCCGGTTCCGGGTCGGGCCGGCCGGCCCGAGTCCACCTCTAGGCATGTTTGGTTTGGACTTGGATCTCACCTAAAACTGTTGTGTATTTTGCTTGTACGAGCATCTCACCTACTTATTTGAATTTTTGTGGAACATGTCCTTTTAGAAAATTGGAGTCGGTGTGATAACTTCTATTTCCATCTTATTACTCTTATCGGTTTATTAATTTAGCTATTTTTCATAGAAGTTTTTCCTTAATTTATTAAAGTGGAGTAGTTTATATTTTGGAATTCCAAAACATGATTCTTATGTTTATCATCATGAGATAAGAGTAAAATGTTTGTATTTACTACCATCTTGGAGTTATAGTTGCCGTATTACTGCCATAGCAGTACATGAAGATAATTTTTCATAATTCAGGAAATTTAACCGTTTTCGCTATAGTTTCATCAATTTCAGTAGATTCAACTAGGGGTGGACTTGGCCGGGCTGAACCGGCATGGCCCGCTACTTTCCGGGCCCAGACTGGGATCGGATGGCCGGTTCCAGGCTTTAGCCCGGGTTGGGCGGGTCTGGCGGGCCTGGCTCGAGCCCTGTTTTCTTGAACCGGCACGGGCGGTCTAGGCCCAGCCCGGTTCATTTTTTTATTTTTTCAATTTTTTTTCTTTTCCTAGGGTGGGGCTGGGTGTTTTGGGGAGGTTTGAGGGGTGGGAGTGAGGGGGGGGAGGTCAGGGGTTAATTAGAAAGCAAAAAAAATTAAACATTGGCCCGGCCCGGACCGGACCGGACCCGGTATTAACCCGGGCCAGTTCCGTGCTCAACATCTGAAAAAAAAGTCCGGTTCATGCCTAGATACAACCAATTTCAGTGTTATCAAATGAGCTCTCAGATCCACTAAGGTCAGGCCTAATATGAACAAAAGTGCTTTTATAATATGTGTGTGTTGTGTTTAATTTGCATTTCAAAGTGTTGAATTTCAGAGATGAACTCTAAGGGCTTATATTGAAAAAACTATGTACATAAACTATATAATCAACTCATTAGTACTTCAATGTAGTGCTTTAAGTTTTCCTCTTTTTTTTTTTGACAAAAAGGAAATAAGAGATAGCACTACAATAGTTCGAGGTAACACTGGGATGAGACATAGAATCAGATGGCCTTCAAGGATCAAACAAATTCGTTGATCCCACAATTATGTAGACTAATCTAATAGCACTGCTGAACTTGCTAATCAAAAATTCTGGCTTCACCAGCCACCGGAAAAGGGATAATTGGTTGACCAGCAATCAACAAAGGAAACTCAGTCGAGGAGAATTTTTCTGAATCATCAGTTTGAGCAGCAACCGAAAAGGAGATCCAGTTAAGCGTTTTCTTCTTCCTAAACTGAGGTGGTGGTTCAAGTGGAGAGAGAGTAATTGAACCTTGAAATAACAATGTTGAAAGAGCTTTGTCAACAATGAACAACGAAAATTCACCAGATCGATTACATTGATGAGAAACACACAACCTTTAGACATTGTTAGGAGAATAGCATACCACACGCTCACCTAAAGCGGACAAATCTCGGTCAACGAAGAAGCCAGACCAAAAGCCTCAAAAGTAGAAATTAAAAAGGAGCGAAAGTATAAAAAAATTGATTCGATCCTTGAGTGCTCATAAAATATCACCATCTTTCAAGACTCTTATTAATTGAAGAAAAGAAGGCTAGAAAATCAGATCTTGGATGACGTTGGAGTTGGCCACCTAGGGTTTTCTCCTAGGACCGGCTCTCGAGCAAGAGGAAACAACTTGATTTTGATTAAAATTTGTATTAATGATCTACTAAGACAGAGAAATGAGAAAAAAATTGCTTTAAGTTTATTATGAAAATGGAATCTGCATTATTATAATCATGTGATGGTGCACATGTGGCATGTGAGAAACACATAGTATACGTTTATGGTAAACATTGTGATAGATATTGTTGAGAAAAAGTTACCAAAAATATTATACTCCATCCGTCCCGAAATAAATGTCTTGTTTGTTTTAGCACAAGTTTTAAGAAAGTGATTGAAAATGTAAAAATTGTGATTGAGATTGAGTAGAAAAGGTGGATAGATGTGAGCCACACATTATTGTCTAAAGAGGAAACAAGACAATTATTTTGGGACAGAACGAAAAAGAAAGCGGGAAAGTTATTTCGAGACGGAGGGAGTACTACGTATAAAACTGTGAAAAGAAAGAGAGAAATGTCATTGATTTGTTTATCCGAAGCATCAATATCAACATGGACGAAATGACAATTTACAATGTATGCCACAACAATATTCTATGGGAAGAATTTTATGGGAAGGAGGTAGTATTTAGTTTTATTAAATTAATAAACTTTGTGAAGAAAACTTCACCAAATATTAGCAATGGAATTAATAAAAAATTAAATAAATCAAAACCTATGAAATGTTAGATCCTAGATTGATAGTTTTTCATCTTTCGAGTCTTATAGTGATACATTTCATCTTTTAGATCTCAGATTGATAATTCGTCTATCTTTCAAGTCCCAAATTGATAAATTTCCAATTATAACCTTTGTATGTGCTAAACAATTTACAAATGTATTTAACAAGTTTCTTGGTGCTCAATGATTTCCTTAATTACTGTCAGAGTTGGGTGTTTCAAACTCACACATTCGGTCCCAAGAGTATTGGACCGTGAAATATACATATACTCCCTCCGTCCCGTTGGAATGTTCCAATAGAAAACCATAATCATTTTTATAAGGAACTATCATTAATATATAACATTTTGTGCATTCAAATCAAACAATTCAAAGTAAAACAACACCACGTACATTTTAATCTCTGAGTATATATATATATAGGGGAGACTACTCCATTGTTTATCACCAGTCACATTTACTTATCCAAAACAACACTATGGAGATGTATCCTTCTTGGGTCATAAACATAACGTTCGGATATCAACTCTATATGTTGATATTCTCACTTCTCTTCCTAACTATTTCATCAGAATCTTATATCCAAAACCATCACCCAAATCCAATGCATAGTAGTTTCCGTCATCTCATTCCCCACCCCTATTGGCTAATCAAGGAGGGGGCGAGCCGAGATGATGTGAAGAGGGAAGCTCCATCCGGTCCGAACAAAATGGAACCACCACTCCAACCATTGCCTCCAGCCGATATGAAAAGAATGGTGCCCAACGGCCCAAACCCGATGGAACCTCCCCTATCATCATTGATTTCAAGAGACGAGAAAAGATTAGTGCCCAACGGCTCAAACCCGGTTGAACCTCCCCTATCATCATTGATTTCAAGAGACGAGAAAAGATCAGTGCCTAACGAGAAAAGAATGGTACTTTCAGGACCAAATCCAATGGAATCCCCCGATCCATCAATTACAGTATAAGATACATCTACTACTACAATCTCTCAATTAATACAGATATTGCCTCTTTATATGCTCTAGTTGAACTGTTTCTATCACACACTACACTAGCCAACAGTGAAATAATGATGTAATAGAAAGTCTAAATTTCTATTCAATGAAATTACCATTTCTTATAAAACTGACAATTTAGTAGTGTAAATGACAAATAAAAGACTGATACAACGAAATTCCTGTGCCTCTATTATTAACTTCAACAAACTGAATAAAACCAAACAACCTTAGATTCCCAACATCTCCCCTCCGGGAGGGGTCAGAATACATCAACCATATTTTAGTTCATCTCTGACTTTCCACCAATGACAAACCTAGGTGTCTGTCATTAGTTTAATCTACACAAGATATATATTAAAATTAATTTAACTTGTCATTAGTTCTACTTATAATACTCACAAATTTATAAAAAGTTGACATGTAAAGTTTGGAGTGAAATAATGCAAGCGATATACGTCTTCTCTAGATGGAGATTTTCCGATATCTAAAGAGAGTTTTTGAAAAATAGCATAAGTTACATGGATGACTTTTTTTGTTTACAAAAATCTAAAACACATCTTTTAAATTTATTTTCCATCATTTTCAATGGAGCCAAAGATTCACTATTTTTTGGCTTGAGAATATGATGGAATAAAGCAAAATGGCTCACTAAACTGTCTGTGCTTCTTTATTGTGAAGCAACAGTCAGTCCATGTATTTTTCGATATGATTTTCACTATGGGTCATTCGAAAATAATCTCTCCGTTCTATAGTACAGAAGTAAGAATGCGTACATCCGACCCCCTTAACCACCGTAGGTGGGAGCCTTTTCGGCACTGGGGTGATGATGATGACATCTTTTAAATTTACAAGGTTTAAAACATATTCAAGCCTAGATTTAATAGGTTGTCCAAAGGGTGAAAGGGTCCATTACAAATTATGTTACAAAGGGTGAAAAGCTCAATAACAAATGACAATTTGTTGTTGTAGTATTGACTTTTGTGTTTGGTTTCGCATTTTGTTTAGTTTGTGTCTATAACGTACAAAGTATCCTTATCCAAAACCCCTACACTATTGCACTTGTATTATTTTGTAATTGTAACCTCTTTTGAAAGGGAGTATTCTCATATTTTATGATATAAGTATTCCTTAATGATTTACAGATTACAATGTTATTGGCAATATTGTTACTGCAATAGCAATTTTATAACTATCATGATTTCTGATGGAATAAGCAAAGCAAATTCAGCTTAAGAGCAAAACATTGATGAATTTGGTACTGCAAGCATTGGACGAACTTTAAACAGTTGGCTTCCAATATAAGGAATATACCATGTCATTCACCAACAACAAATATAGTAGTTTACAAAATTGGGCCTTGTTGGCCTTTTGGGGACGTACGTCCCTTGAAGTAGGGGGAAAGCATCTCTAGTTACCCCAAGTTCTTGGAGACGTCTGTATTGCCTTTAGCTGACGCTCCTGACGTGACAGTGGCTTCCTTGGCATGGTTTCCCGCCAATGGGTGGCGACAATCGTCCCTAGGCAATGGCTGCCTGGTGTCCCGTGGTGCCTTCAAAGTTGTTGAGCCACTGTGTCTCCTGACGTACTTCTCCTGATGCGTTGTTTGCCTGCTTAGATACCCCATGAGATGAGGTCGTACGTCGTCACCGCTTACTGCCATTTTGGTGCATGAGCCGAACGTCGTCACTGTCATGGACCACTCTGAGGGTATTTGTCCCCAGATTGTTGGGCTTTGGGGACGATCGTCCGGTGAGCCTCAGGGGTTAATGGGCCGATCCCATTTGGGCCATTTACCCATCAACAGTGATAAAACCCGTTGTGAGGAGTTGTTTAATGGTGTTATTTCTACGACGAACGTGTCTAGACTTACCATTATACATGTTGCTCTGTATCATTCCAATTGTCGCTTGACAATCGCAATGTATGCATATTGGAGGGACAGACTTTTACCAACTTGGAATATCCTTGAGAAAATGGCATAACCTTTTTTTAACCCGGAAGGGAAACCACCAAAATCAGTGGGGCAAATGCCGGGGAACATTTGCCAGATTTTATTGAGAAAAATGGAAATACAAAATGAAGCGGGGGACTCGACCAAAACCTCTTCTAGAGGGCATTCCCTCTAAAAATACAATAAGTAAGTAAAAGAAAGCTCAATTGGGGGGCTAGACCTGACCCAAAAGAGCTAAAAATATAACAAAGAATTCAATGAGCAAGTAAACTAATAGAAACATCTGAAAGAGGGCAGCCCAAATAAATCCCTGAAATAAGCCTGACGGGCCGTTAAAAGCAATTCTTTGGGTCGACGAAAAATTTGCATTTGAGTTGTATAATGAACTGCTAAATGGTGAGCGGCCCAATTACATTCATGCAGGGTATGTCCAATAGATACACATTGCCTAATTTGAAGGTGTTTCATCTCCTGAATTAGGCCATTCCACTGACCGCCTATCTGGTCGAAACAAGAGAGCACTTGCGCCGCATCACTCTAAACAAGGAACTGCGAGTTGCCTTCCCCAATCGCCCATCCGGTAGCAGTGAGAATAGCTTGAATCTCTGCTTCCAAGCTCGTGGAAGCTATCAACGGAAATGAAATTGCAGCGACCAGCTCACCGTTCTGATTTCTCAAATGCGTACCTCCTCCTGCTCTCCCAGGTATGAAGCTAGCATCAGTAAAACGTTTCATATGAGTCTGAGACTTAATCCACCGAAGAGCCCTAATTTTAGTACCTGAAGTTTTGAAGTTCTTAGGAATGAGTTTTTCCTCAAAAAGAACATCCCCAACTGAGCGAACTATTAAGATGCTAAAACTCGAAGCCCAAGCCTGCATATAAATTTCAATCTGAAAAATAATGTGCTCTGTAGTAGGAGGATTGTCATTGTTGCCCCAAATGATGCCTGTGTAATACTTCCACACAAACCAACAAATTATACCTGGGATATTGTGTCTAAAGAGATCAATTACAGTTTTACTACTAGTATTCATCCACCAATTCATAAGCAGTTGACGGATAGAATCACAATCGATCTTTCTAGAAATTCCCAAAATATTCATAAAATAATGCCATATAGGTTTCACCACATCACACTTATAAAGTAAATGTTCCAAGGAATCCTCTTGTCTTCTACAAAGAGGGCACATGGAAGGATTTAAGATATGTTGAAACCTCTGGAGTTTGTCTGAAACAGTAATAATACCATGGAGGACCCTCCAATGAAAAACTTTTATCTTCATGGACTGTTTAGGATGTCAGACATGCCTAAAAGTAAACATACTGGCTTCTCATCTCAAACAACATCATATGCAGATTTAAAAGAGAAAACACCATTTTCTTCATGCTCCCAAATCAAACTCCCATTCACATCTGTGGTGCAATTATGACTGGCCTGCCAAAGGATGAATAGAACAAATTCTTCTCCAAATTGGAGAATCGGTGACTTTAGGGGTCATATTAGCTCCTCTAGGGTATCGGGCATTAATAAAAGTATTCCAAAGTGAGGTACCAGTGCTCCACTTCCACCAAAGCTTAATAGAGAAGGCTTTTTTCCAAATTAGAGAGAGACCTTATGCCTAAGCCCCCTTCCTGAGTAGGTAAACTGAGCTTAGACCAAGAAAGCCAATGATAATGACCTTTATCATTAGAGTAGCCCCATAAAAAGTTGGCCATTTTCTTTTCAAGAATAGTAATAACTTTGTTAGGAAGAGTATCAGCTGCTAAAGTGTGCAAAGGAATAGCACTCAAGACATGCTTAATTAGAATGAGTCTTCCTTCTTGAGATAAATTCTTACACTTCCATGGGGTGAGCTTGGAATCAAATTCATTAATAATATTATCACAATATTGAATTCTATTGATTCCTTTATGTAACTTGATTCCCAGATATTTCAATGGGAGACTAGCCTCTTCAGTGCACTTATCCAAGGCTATTAGCTCAGATTCTATCGTGGATGTAGCTATTATCGTTTGTTTCGAGGATTTCCATGACACGGTTGCACCTCCTAAAGTGAAAACATATCCACTTATGGACTTTGAGTCCTTAGTGTCGGATATCCAACTAGCGTCGCTATACCCTTCAAGTACAGCTGGATATCTTCCATAGTGCAGTCCAAGATTTTGGGTTTTTCGTAAATACCTCAAAACCCTTAATATTGCCTTCGAGTGTTCATCACTGGGGTTACTAGTATATCTACTTAGGGTGCTAACCACAGATGCAATATCAAGTCAGGTACAACTCATTAGATACATCAAGCTTCCAATAATCCTAGCGTATTCTACTTGAGAAATACACTCTCCATGATTTTTGGTAAGATGCACGTTTTTATCTAATGGAGTCCTTGCCTCTTGATAATCATCCTTATTAAATTTCGTAAGGATTTTATCAATGTAATGGGATTGGCTTAGCGTAAGACCGTCCGGCCCCCTAATGATTTTAATCCCAAAGATTAAATCGGCCAGCTCCATATCCTTCATGTCAAATTTCGAATTTAACATGCTTTTGGTAGAATTAATCATTTGATTATTGCTACCCACGATGAGTATATCATCCACCTATAAACATAAAACGACATAGCCGTCTACTGTGTTTTTTCACATAGACGCATTTGTCACTTTCGTTTATTTTAAACCCATTAATTAACATTGCATGATCGATCTTTTCGTGCCACTGTTTAGGGGCTTGTTTCAATCCATACAATGATTTAATTAATTCACACACTTTCCTTTCTTGGCCAGGAACACGAAAGCCCTTGGGTTGTTCCTATTGGGCCGCAGGTATGCGGTGCCAGCAATCTGCCAGCCTGCCGGTGCAATCAAACCGCGTGGCGTTTCGCTTGTGCTATAAAGGGGGAGGAGCGTGCTACACTATCAGTGATTGCTTTTATGTAGCAGTAAGCGCAACGATCCACAAGTGGTATCAGAGCCAAAGTCATGGGTTCGACGCCCGACAACAGCATGTTGCGCAGTTGAGGCTGACAGGTGCTGGGGGGGAGATTGTTGGGCCGCGGGTATGCGGTGCCAGCAATCTGCCAGCCTGCCAGTGCAATCGAACCGCGTGGCGCTTCGCTTGTGCTATAAAGGGGAAGGAGCGTGCTACACTATCAGCAATTGATTTTAGTGTAGCGGTAAGCGCAACGATCCACAGTTCCATATAGATTTCTTCGTCTATATCGCCATTTAGAAAAGCGGTTTTTACATCCATTTGATGAACTTCCAATTTCCGCAATGCGGCAATTGCTAGTATCATTCTAATGGAATTTATTCTTGTCACAGGAGAATACGTGTCAAAGATATTATGACACTGATGTTGCTCGTATCATTTGATTACAAGTCTGGCCTTGCACTTATCGATGGAATCATCAGGTTTCATTTTTCGTTTAAAAATCCACTTGGATCCCAAAGGTTTATTTTCCGGAGAAAGATCAACCAATTCCCACGTGTGATTTTGTAGGATAGAATCCACCTCACATTTGATGACTTCTTTCCACATAGGACCTTCAGTAGACGTCACGACTTCCGTATAAGTCAGTGGTTCATTTTCTACCAAACATGTTAGAAAATCCGGTTCATTTTTACCATACATGTTAGAATATCCGATATACATTAAAAATAATTTAACTTGTCATTAGATCTACTTATAATACTCACAAATTTGTAAATAGATGACATGTAAAGTTTGGAGTGAAGGAATGCAAGTACATATGTTCTTAAATAATTGCAACATTAGAAATTTTACACTATTTGGGTGCTCTACTATGACATAACAATCGATGTTGCATTTTTGCAATGGAGTCGTTTGGCGCATCCAGACACACATTTAAAAGTCATTTATTATTCATACGACCATATATAATACCTCCATTCTTATGACTAATAATACGATCAAACTCCCTCCATCCAGTTGGAATGTTCCCGTTCGGTTTACGATGCTTGAGTGATGATAAAGCAACTTGATCCCTGTTCACACTCTGCTTATTTTTAGTAAATAAAATTTACATATTCAGAAACTACATTAAAACCGCTACAAAGCCTAATCAAGAAAAGTTCAATTTGAGAAAAATTTGATATATAAAGTAAAAGATTAGGAGTGACCTAAGTTGACCAATGAATAGTGAACAGGAACATTCCAACGGGACGGAGGGAGTATTTTGTAACATTAGAAATTTTACCCTATTCATGTGCTCTACGCCTCTGCTATGACTATGTTTTATTTATTAATGTATTATTAATTTATTTTTAAAAAAATACCCTGTATAATTAAATTCCTCTCATTCTAAATTTTCAAAAGTGATTTTTATTGTTTAATCAGTTTTTTAGATAAAGTAAGAAATTGTAATGTTTTTCTTCATAACAAGATCATTGATCGGTTTAATAACACATCAAGTTTGGAATAAGTTTGTAAAAAAGTAATCAATCTATTTTTTATCTCATTAATGTGTATTGACTATTCCCGTGCAATGCACGGGTTCATCGTCTAGTTAGGTTTATTTTATTTATTGAATAATAAATTTGGAAATGATTGTTTTGTTTGGGAATCAAAATAAAAATGACTCATAAGAATTAGTATTTCTTCTCGGCCTATTCGAATTCAAAAACATTAAGGTTCTCTATCATGATTATACACAAATTATTACTCTGTATATTATCGATGAAATCATGCAAGTTATATGCAATTGATCAGTTACAAGTCATCAAAAAAAAAAATAAGTTACAAGTCATCAAAAACTGATGATCAGATCCTTCCCGATGTATCAAAAAAGGTAAGTGATTATCAAATTAATTACATTAAATCTTTAAAATAGGTAACAAATTATATTCACTTAATAACAAATGTATTGCCGAAAACCAATAGAAAACCATAATCATTTTTATAAGGAACTATCATTAATATATAACATTTTGTGCAGTCAAATCAAACAATTCAATGTAAAACAAGACCACATACATTTAAATCTCTGAGTATATATATAGGGGAGACTACTTCATTGTTTATCACCAGTCACATTTACTTATCCAAAACAACACTATGGAGATGTATCCTTCTTGGGTCTTAAACATAACGTTCGGATATCAACTCCATATGTTGATATTCTCACTTCTCTTCCTAACTATTGCATCAGAATCTTATATCCAAAACCATCACCCAAATCCAATGCATAGTAGTTTACGTCATCTCATTCCCCACCCCTATTGGCTAATCAAGGAGGGGGCGATCCGAGATGATGTGAAGAGGGAAGCTCCATCCGGTCCGAACAAAATGGAACCACCACTCCCACCATTGCCTCCAACTGATATGAAAAGAATGGTGCCCAACGGCCCAAACTCGATGGAACCTCCCCTATCATCATTGATTTCAAGAGACGAGAAAAGATTAGTGCCCAACGGCCCAAACCCGATGGAACCTCCCTTATCATCATTGATTTTAAGAGACGAGAAAAGATTAGTGCCCAACGGCCCAAACCCGATTGAACCTCCCCTATCATCATTGATTTCAAGAGACGAGAAAAGATCAGTGCCTAACGGCCCAAACCCGATGGAACCTCCCCTATCATCATTGATTTCAAGAGACGAGAAAAGATTAGTGCCCAACGGCCCAAACCCGATGGAACCTCCCCTATCATCATTGATTTCAAGAGACGAGAAAAGATTAGTGCCCAACGGCCCAAACCCGATTGAACCGCCCCTATCATCATTGATTTCAAGAGACGAGAAAAGATCAGTGCCTAACGGCCCAAACCCGGTGGAACCACCAGCCAGTATAAGGATACCATATTGGGTTATGAAGGAGAATGTAAAGGGGAAAGTTCCATCCGATCCAAACCTGACTGGACCGTCAATATCATCATTGACTTCAACAGATGTGTCTAATAGTCACCAACTTTATTGGATCGTGAAAGAGGGGGAGAAAAGAATGGTACCTTCAGGACCAAATCCAATGGAATCCCCTGATCCATCAATTACAGTATAAGATACATCTACTACTACAATCTCTCAATTAATACAAATATTGCATCTTTATATGCTTTAGTTGAACTGTTTCTATCACACACTACACTAGCCAACGGTGAAATAATGATGTAATAGAAAGTCTAAATTTCTATTCAATGAAATTACCATTTCTTATAATACTGACAATTTAGTAGTGTAAATGACAAATAAAAGACTGATACAACGAAATTCCTGTGCCTCTATTGTTAACTTCAACAAACTAAATAAAACCAAACAACCTTAGATTCCCAACATCTCCCCTCCGGGAGGGGTTAGAATACATCAACCATAATAACCTTATCAACTTCAAACCTTAATATGTCTTTAGTACTTTAAAATAAAAGTTCACAAGCTTATACACACTACGATTCCCACAGTATAGAAAATTCCATATCTTTTAGCCTCATAAATAGTACTCCTTCCGTTCCTATTTTATCTTCCAAATAGATTTGGCACACAATTTAAGATAGTGTGTATTGTGTAGTGGAGAGTTGTGCAGAGGAGAAAGTAATGTGTAAGAAATGTTGTGAACCACAAATTCTTTACTAAAAAGGGAAAATGGAAGTTTTAATTGGAACGGGCGAAAGAGGAAAGTTGGAAATTTTAATAGGAACAGAGGTAGTAGTTTATTCTCAACAAACTTGGTCCTCATCTTCTAATGCTTCTATTTGGAAGTTCTCATTTCTTTTAACTTAATATTTTGGAAAATATCTGCTTTCAAAAATCATAATGAAAAGGTATGCACAATACTGTGCAATTTTTGTCTATAAAAATGTGGTTATAGTGATGCTTGTTCAAATGTTTCAATTCCTAGCAATTTTTGGTATTGATTTTTGTTCAATAAAAATGTGATTTTTGTCTATAAAAATGTGGTTATAGCAATTTTTGTTCAAATGTGGTATTGATTTGTTCAATTTAATAGTTAGCCAAAATACAAATAGCTTGTTACAGAAGTTTTAATAGGTTTTTTTTGTTATATGTTTCTTGTCAAATACATATATAACCTATTTTGTTTCAGTTCCTAGCAATTTTTGTTGCTGTTTTTCATCCCAGTAATTACCTACACTGATATGACAAAACTAGGTGTCTGTCTTGCTGTTTCATGTCATTTCATTTTAAAAATACTTATATTTTCTAATCAAAAGATATACAGTAAAAATAATTTAGCTTGTCATTAGATCTACTTATAATACTCACAAATTTATAAAAAGATGACATGTAAAGTTTGGAGTGAAGTAATGCAAGCGATATACGTTCTTCTCTAGATAGAGATTTTCCGATATCTAAAGAGAGTTTTTGAAAAATAGCATAAATTACATGGATGACTTTTTTTGTTTACAAAAATTAAAAACACATCTTTTAAATTTACAAAATTACAAGGTTTAAAACATATTCAAGCCTAGACTTAATAGGTTGTCCAAAGGGTGAAAGGGTCCATTACAAATTATGTTACAAATGGTGAAAAGCTCGATAACAAATGACAATTTCTTGTTGTAGTATTGACTTTTGTGTTTGGTTTCGCATTTTGTTTAGTTTGCGTCTATAACGTGCAAAGTATCCTTATCCAAAACCCCTACACTTTTGAAAGGGAGTCTTCTCATATTTTATGATATAAGTATCACTTAATGATTTACAGATTACAATGTTATTGGCAATATTGTTACTGCAATAGCAATTTTATAACTATCATGATTTCTGATGGAATAAGCAAAGCAAATTCAGCTTAAGAGCAAAACATTGATAAATTTGGTACTGCACGCATTGGACAACCTTTCAACAGTTGACACAATATTGTGAACTTAACATAGTAAACGAACTTGATCACACACTTAACAACAAATATAGTAGTTTACAAAGCAAAAACGGAACCCTTTTAAATAGCAACAAAGATCTCGGTATTGATCAAATGCAGATTCACAAATAATGTCACTTTGCTGTTGAATCAAATTTAGTTATAAATTACAATATTTTAAAGATATGACCATAATATATAAAGTCAGTTCTGTTGATTCCATACAGACAAACTGTTACATATGATCTTATTAAGTACAGGATATTGAGTCCCTTTTTGTCGTTGGAAAGCTAAATTCAAGTTTTAAAACTTTAATAGAGTAAATTTCTAAGTTTTATAAGAGTCGTCTTTATGTGACCAATAAATATATCACTAAAAGAGTTTGAGGCAAAAAAAACATACGATGTAAAACTCTCACACAATGATATAAGGCTAGAGATGTAGCTACCGCGTTCAACATTTATCCGATAATTGACCAACACTTTCAAGCATATGCCTCTTAATGACAAAGGTGAAACCACTGCCACAGTAAACATTAACAACAAATGGCTTTTTAACATGCTTATACATATTATTACTTGTACTCACCACTTGAGGACTAGCTTGATCATTTGCATCTCCCAAGCCAAGTTGACCATGTTCCCCCCATCCCCACGTCATCACTGATCCATCATCTGTGTATTTATTAAATGATGACACATTATAACACACAATGTAGAAAAGACAAAAATGGAGCACGCTATAGAAGCAGTGTGTCAGATCATTATAAAAATGCAGACGAGTGGCTTCTGATTTTCAACATGTGCAAGAAACTTGCCTGTTACCAAGGCCGTGTGCTCAGCTCCTGCTGAAATTTGGAAAACCTTTACCCCAACAAGAGCATCAACCTTCTGTGCAATTTCTTCATTACCTGCAAATGTATGTATTTAAAAGGCGATTTATACTAGAACCATTAATGCAGGATAAAGATTTATTTTAAGGCTATGTTTGGAACTTGGAAAGTGGTAGGGAAAGAAGGAAAGAACTAGAGAAAATGGTTTTCTGATATTTAGTTTTACCTTAGCAAACCAAATTTGATTTTTTTTAAAGATTGACATATACTTCGATTTTGTAGTCTTATATAACTGAAATACTTAAATTGAAATGAATTCGAAAAAATATACATCGTATAATTGAAGCAGTTTATTATTCTCCATGATATTTCATTTCCTTCTAAATTTCCTCTACTTTTTCCTCCTTGATTTCTTTCTCTAGCATTTTCCAAATTTGCAAAACGACCCCAAATTCCGTAGGATTTTATTTACGAGTACTTTAGCCCTATATTGCCAGGACTTTGTATGCCACACAGCAAGACACCTGACAAAGAGATTAGGTTCCTTTTTTATTGCTTACACTTCTTCTGATGGATTGATTTACAATAAAAAAGTGGGTTTCACCTGCATCTTTAAGTGTTTTCGCTATCAACTGTGTTTTTTGGCTACTTGAAGCACCATAGTTATAGCTGCCCATCATGAACACTTGTCCATCACCTGCAAATCATTTTAAAAATATCTAAATAAGTATATGCATAAAGACTGTTGGAAGCATGTAATAACAGTGAAACTTATCTTTTGTGCTCACATCAACATGTTAGAAGGTTATTAATCATTTCAAGGTAACTGTAGCATTTACCTGTTAACAATAGAGCATGATTCCACCCTATAGAAGCACTACTGAATGATGGGCTTGCTGTAATACGTTTGGGCATATAATTATCTGGGCCCCCACCGAAGCCTCTTCCCCATCTATAGAAATGTCCATCAGCTAACAAGAAAGAAATAATTGAAAATCAAGAAATGAAAAGACACAAATGTACAGCGCGAGATTCAGAAAAAGTTGCATAAAAATTAGAGAGCATTACATTAGCTAATGACTGAAATTTAAAGTTCGCATCATAAACTACATAAATATTTGGTAGGAGAACTATCAAATAAGCCCTCGAACTTTCATAAAAAGTGCAAATAAGCCCTTTTACATGAGGCTTTGTCCGGCTGTTGCCATTTGGGGCGGTTTCCGGTGGAATTTTTTTATGAATTTTTTTTAGCATCTTCTTCATTAAGACTAGTTTACCCATACCAAATTTCAGCTAAAAATTCAATCGAAAAGATAGTCAGATGATTTTCTGAAATATACTGCGCTGCCTAACTGCGCAGTTATCTTCAAAAAATCATTTGACTGCCTTCCCGATTGAACTTTTAACTGAACTTTGGTATGAGTAAACTAGACTTAATGAAGAAGATGCTAAAAAAATTCATCAAAAAATTCTACCGGAAACCGCCCCAAATGGCGACGGCCGGACAGAACCTCCCATAAAAGGGCTTATTTGCACTTTTTATGAAAGTTAGAGGGCTTATTTGGTAGTTCTCCCATATTTGTTTTTTTATTCAACAAAATATTCAACTTCAAACACTTACTACATATAGCTCCACTATGCTCTCCATTTGCAATAATGCTGTTAATTCTGAGATTTTCCAAGCCCAAAGTAACATGAGGAACGCTTACTGATTTTACTTTGTCATCAGATATACCCAGCTGACCACGTTTTCCAGACCCAAATCCATAAACACGACTTCCCATATTACCTGCATTAAATCCTTTTTCAGTTCATGAGTCAAGTGTTTTACAACAGAAATGAGCCACTTTTAAATACAAATAAAAAGATATGGCCTGCTTATGGATAGTGTTTAAACCAAAAACCAAACATACCCAGTATGTGCCACTTAAAAGTACGGACAGCGGATGGTGAGATCTACACAGACTTTATCTCCATCCAAGGAGTACAGAGGTTGTTTCCATGAGTACCCCAATATAGCAAAATTTAAGAAACTTGAGAAGATGTTGATAATTTTATGATTTTTTTAAAACCTCTGAACATTTGTTTAAAAAAATAGCAGAACAATAATAAAATACTAGTATCAAAAGAGAAATGGTAGTGTGAAAATGTAATGAGAAAATATGCGAATTCACAAGAGTTAATTATTCAGCTGACACAATTTTACCTTCAACCAAAGCGATCGAATGGCGCATACCACAAGCAATTTGCTTGACATGTCTAGAGTTAAAAAATGGCACTTCTACAGGAGAAGAGTGCGATATATAATCACCAAGACCAAGCTGCCCAAACGTACCATCTCCACACATGAAGAGTTGACCGCTCTCTAGCATTAAATAAAATCCCAACCAACACGGAAAATATGAATTCCCACATACAATGAAATGCAGAGAAAAAAGCAAAGATAAACCTGAGGAGGTTTGCTTTCACAAAAACTAAAAAGTACAGTAACTCCAAATGTGTGTGTGTGTGTGTACTTAAAGAACACCTCAATGACTTGATCAAAAAGAAAAGTCCAATGAATAATTTTTTATAAGAGAAGAGGAGAACAAATAAACCTGAAACAAAACCGGAGTGATTCCAACCAGCAGAAATATATGTAATATCAAAGGCTACCAAATCTTCCACAACCATAGGCTGCACACTGGAAACAGCTTCCCTATGGCCTAATTGCCCTGATGTACCCCTACCCCATGTCACCACTCTTCCACCTGCAAATGCTTAACTGTTAATGGCCGCGTGTTATCCTCATTTACCAGCTTACCAATCATATACTATGTATGTGATATGTCTACTAAGAACAATTTTTGTTTTACTTCACGATAAAAATGAGAAAATTAAGGTTTGAAGTGGTCAATATTGAAACATAACAAGGTTGTAGGTATTTTTTTGGCTAAAATGGCTTAAGCTGATTAAGATGATTACTTCAGCCTTTTACCCATATGCGGAGTATTTGTTTTCTTTATCTTTTTTAAACCTTATAGCGGGATCTCAAACTTCAACTTTATTCTGTTCACTTTTCAAAATTTGAGTTAGGTTTCGATTCTTGAGAGTTGAGTCGATTGCCACTCTATCCAGCTCAGTAGTTTTCATTTCAGAATTGTATTTTGGGTAACAAGAGCACAGATAAAGGTGAGAAAACAAACAAGTAATTGAGTACAACCTGAACAGTTCCATGAAAGAAGATAGAAGAAGATAGACCTGAGATAAGAGCGATGACATGAGCGCCGCCGCAAGCGAGAAGAGAGACTGGGCCCAATGAGGAGAGAGAACGGAGAAACTGAGGGTGGTGCTCGTCTAAGAGCCTCCCCGTTCCCAACTGACCCTCTGTGCCTGCCCCCCAACTCCATATCTCTTCTTCCAACTCCTCCTCATTTTCTGCTTTCTCTTTGAATCTTTCGTTTGCTTCCATTTGTTACTTCCGACGGACGGAGTGATGACTGATCAGAAATCCTGCTACACGTTGGCAAAACTTGCTAAATTTTGAAAAATGTGAATTGAAAAACAGGAAAGGAAACCATTCATTTAATCTAATACTCCTTTCAATCTTAAAACCATTTCTTAGATGGGACTAAAATAACCAAGAAATGGGCAAAACAAAAAATGTGATAACTTTACAAAATTATCCTTAATGAATTTCAAATCTATTTACATTTGAAAATAAAAAAATAAAAAGGTTTTCTAAAGCCCTAGGTTCCATTGCCTCGTCCAACATTCCAGATGCTATCGCCGGCACTTCCAGCGCTCGTCACTTCCGGTGCCGCCAAGCTTGACATCATCACTGTCGCCACTTCCACCGTCGCTGCTGCCGGTTTTCAATGAAAATGCCATCTTGCTTCAAAAAATATATTTTATTGACAACATAAATAATTAATTTTGCCATCTTTTATTAATAAAATGAACACAAAATGGCAATTTCTCTTATAAAATTTGGCATTTCGTTTCAAAGAAAACAATATTTTTCTGTCATAATTTCATATGCAAATCTGCCATATAGTTGGCAATAATGTCAAGTGGATGTCAAAATACAAATTTTCTGCCATCACCTCTTACATCAATGTGCCATAAATTTGGTAAAATATGAACCCAATATTCAAAATCGAGGAAAATAGAGTTTTTCATGAAATAATTTTTTTATTGAAATCAGAAATCTGAACTATGAAATCAATGCCCGAAAATCAGAAAAATTGATGGCAAAACTCAGCAAACTGAATTAAATCAAAAAGTTCTACCAAAAAACCACAAAATCAGTGAATAACTTGATTTTGTAAACATAAAACAGAGGAAGGGAAGGGTGGTGGAGGAGGAGGAGGAGCAGTGGTGGACAACTAGCGACGGCGAAGTTGACCGGCGGTGAAGAGAAATCAACGATGCAGAGAGAGGCGCAGGGGAGAGACGCAAGGGAGGGATGAGCGATAGAAATTTAGGGTTTTAATATTATTATATAGGAAGGTATAATGGTAATCTGTAGTCCTATTTAGAGAATTAAAAATGTTTGATCCTATTTGTGCACTTGTTTACTACTCCCTCCGTCCCATAAAATAAGTCTCATTTTCCTTTTTGGGTCGTCCCAAAAAATTGTTCCCATTTTCCTTTTTGGAAAGTTTTGTGTGGCTAATATTCATTTACCTTTTTCTTACTCAACCATAACCATACATTTCCACTTTATTCCCACTTTCTTAAACTCCGATCCAAATTGAAATGGGACTTATTTTATGGGACGGGGGGAGTATTAGTCCTATATAGGGCAATTACTTTAAAAACTAAAGGCTGGGATGGTCTAAAGTTGCTAATAAAAACAGGGTAAAAACAAATCATCTTTGATCACACCTAACCACACTAGATCTAATCAGACTTTGAAAGTTATAAAAAGACCAGACATTTGCCAGATCAAACAATATCAGTTCAAACTAAACTAGACTTAACAGATCATACCAGACCAGATTAGCAAATTTCAGTCCAACAGAAAACATCCTAAATCAATGTTAACTTTTGATGGGAGGTCTTCCAGAGTTATTTGGGCCTCAGCCATCGCCCTCACGGGCGCCCTCGTGAGCTGTATAGATTTTCACATTTTGAAAAGGGGGAACCATCATCATTCTTCACTAAGGTGTTTGGGTGTATTTCTTTTCTACTCATTCAACGAGAAAAAATAAATATTGGGGTGTTTGGGTGGAAATGCAGAAATACTTCTAAGTGGTCAAATAGTTCCTAGAGACATTTTTTGACAAGTTGGGAGTAACTTTGAAAAAACTGATTGTGAGTCTACTTCTATTTTTAATAAAGAAGTAGAAGTAAATAAGTTCCAAACACTCCTTAAATTTGGGAAATTTCCTAGGATATAACTAAAACTCAAATTTTACCTAAATAAGACCAAAACTTATGGAAATTACAAGAATAGGACACCCAGGTTTCCGCTCACGCGCATAGGACTAATTATGCGTTGAAATGCCAAAAATGACCTTCCAAACCGCTACATGTACTCTGAGCTCATTGACGGTTACACAACTCCTATTACGGCACCTCCCGGTTTCCAAGTTGCCAGTATTATTACCGCGGAAAAAAAGATTGCAAAAATTAAATGAAGATGTATTGGAAGCCTTACTGTTGAGAGATTGCAAGTCAGTCGACGTAACTTCCTTGAGGAGAGTCACTTCATTGAGGAGAGTCGCTTGGTTGAGGATAGTTGAAGGACGAAGCCATTGACGACAAAACGATGGATTTATCAAATACAGTTTCCGTTAGAATCAATTCCAAAATGGTATGTACTCATTTCTTATCATAATGCCTGCAATTGAATGTCGTTTGGCAGTTAATAAGGTTCGAAACAAATTTGATGAATGTAAATACGTTTTAAATTAGCCACGCAAAAACTCGTATGATGAATACTATTGCATTCGCAATAGAGTAAATGACATGTTTAGTAACATCAGATTACATGATAATGTTGTTATATAGTAGCATTGGAAGCATATTTGAAAACTGTGATGACATTTTGCTTTAGGTTGAAAACAAAATGACATCACATATAATGAGAAATTGAGAAACTGATGCAGTAATGACAGTTTAATAAATTTTACTTGCTCATATGGTGGCATTTTGTATGAAAGTGACATTCCATGAGTATGTTATCATGACATTATGCATTAAATAATGACATTGTATGAAATGTGTGAGCTTCAAAGCAAAATGACATCACATATAATGAGAAATTGAGAAACTGATGCACTAAATACAGATTAATAAATTTTACTTGCTCATATAGTGGCATTTTGTATGAAAGTGACATTCCATGAGTATGGGGTTATGTACTGGCAATGTAACCTTATATGAATGTTATCATGACATTATGCATTAAATAATGACATTGTATGAAAATGTGTCAGGTTGAAAAAAAAATGACATCACATATAATGAGAAATTGAGATACTGATGCAATAATGACAGTTTAATAAATTTTACTTGCTCATATGGTGGCATTTTGTATGACAGTGACATTCCATGAGTATGTGGTTATGTACCGGCAATGTAACCTTATATGAATGTTATCATGACATTATGCCTTAAATAATGACATTGTATGAAAATGTGTTAGGTTGAAAATAAAATGACACCACATATAATGAGAAATTGAGAAACTGATGCACTAATGACAGTTTAATAAATTTTACTTGCTCATATCGTGTCATTTTGTATGAAAGTGACATTCCATGAATATGTGGTTATGTACTGGAAATGTAACCTTATATGAATGTTATCATGACATTATACATTAAATAATGACATTGTATGAATATGTGTGAGCTTCAAAGCAAAATGACATCACATATAATGAGAAATTGAGAAACTGATGCACTAATGACAGTTTAATAAATTTTACTTGCTCATATGGTGGCATTTTGTATGAAGTGTCATTATTGTTAGTCATTTACATGGTGATTAAAGTGCATATATATGTGTGAACTTGACAGACAATAACAAGAGCTTTTAAAAAGTCAGTGTTAGTGAAGTTGGAAGACTTGCGTGTCAACTCCTACTGCAATGTTGCTGAGGTTCTTAAGAAAATAAAGACATATCTAAGCACAGAGGAACTGACAGAGTTCAAGAATACTGTATTTGGTTGGATGTTGAGAATAGAAGACATTCCTTGGCTGAGTGGACAATTGATTTTGGGATTTATTGGAAACTTTGTGACTGAAGTTAATGGAAAGACATATGACAGTGTCATCAGGTTTAACATTAAAGACAACGTGATCAGCTTTCAGAAGCATGATCTTGCAGTAATGTGTGCTTTAAAGTTTGGAGTTGTGAAACCAAATATTTCCGAAGAGCTTGAGGGAGATATATGGACAAATTATTTAGGAGCCTAGACAACTGTGACTCATGCAGATATTCAGAATGCATTGAAGAATTACAAAAACACTGATGATAGCAGACTGACAAATGATGGAGTCAAACTGGCACTACTATACATACTTTCACATTGCTTATTTGGGAATCAATCTGCTAGACCCATGAAGACATACTACATAAACTTAGTTGATGACTTGGATGCATTCAATGCTTATCCATGGGGTGATGATGTTTGGGTGGACTTAGTTAACAAGGTGAAACAGAGCTGTGAGGCACTAGATAAAGGAAAAGCAGACAGAGTAACATTCCTTGGCTTCATAATGGCATTCCAGTGGTGGGCATTTGAAACTTTTCCTGGTTTAGCAAAGGCTGGCTTGTGCAAAGTCATCAAGGGGACAAGACACATCATACCAAGGACTCTAAAGTGGGAGTTTAAAAAAAACCTACACTGGAGGTCCTTTCTGAAATTATATTCAAGAATGACAAGATATGTTATTGGTTAATATGTAAATTTTTAAATGTTTATGTGCACACATTGTTTACTAACATGGGTTTTTTGTTTTAGTTTGAATGGGCACAGATAGTACCAACTGCAGATGAGATTGCTATGATAGAAGAGGGAAATGACATAAATGAGGAGGTGATGCACCTTGTGATAAACAATGTTGGCAGGATTGATGCTCAAAAGCCAAATACTATTGTAGCAAAAGGGAAACACAAGGTGATGCAGACCAAAGTATTCAAAAGAAAAACAAAAAAAGCTGGGAGGGGCACAGGTAAAGCAATCAAATCTCAAGAAGGGCCTTCTAGAAGAAGAAGAAGAAACAAGACTACAGTAGAAAAAGAGAGTGATGATGATTCAAGTGATCATGAATGTGATGAAGGTGAAGAGACCGATAGTGATGATTCTAGTGAGAGTGGAAGGGAAGGAGATAAGTATGTATTCTTCATGAGCAAAGACAGCAAAAGTATTAAAAAGGGCATCAGAAAACAAGCAAAGGAGACTGCCCGATTAGTGACAGAAATGAAAAATATGAAGAAGACTCAAAAAAGCAAGAGGATCTTTTGAAAGATGTCATTCTGATGCTCAACAAAATGTCACAGGGTGTTTAAAAGAGTGAGCCTACAAAAGCAACTGCAGAGGGTGATACGGATGAAGAAGAAAGTGGAAAAGAAAAAGAAGAAAAAGAAAAAGAAAAAGAAGATGATGTGATAGCCATGAATGGGCCAGATTCTGAGAATGATGTTGCTG